GCCACGGTTTCAAACCCCTACAAAAATTCCCCAAATAAGAGCTATAATTTTGCACAAGGAAGTAAGCCCTACTAAAGAATAGACTGGGTATAAACATTTACATTGTGAACCCTTTTGTTACGATTATAATAATGTATTCTGTATATTCACTGACATAAATTTCAAAAGGGATATGCGTCATGTAACTAAGTAATGCATATTTATAACGAACTCTGGTCAATGAATGTAATAGTGAAAGACATAATGTTAAGAAATGTTTAAAACAGCTTGTTGATCTAACGATATCACTGATACAGAACTAAAAATGAATTTAGTGATATTTTGGTGTGTTTTTAGTGCACTGCTTATTAACGTTGAAGGTATGAACTGTTAATCTTAAATATTTTAACATTTGTTAAATGGATATAGAAAGAAGAAAGTAACGAACTGATAGCGTCCGGATATTTCATAATTTAAATTTAATTCCTTGGTGATATGATATTAACGATATCAAACACGATTTTCAGGATGTTTCGTAGCATATATCATGGCCTTACTATATGATATTAACGATATCAAACACGATTATCAGGATGTTTCGTAGCATATATTATGGCATTACTAGATGATATTAACGATATCAAACACGATTATCAGGATGTTTCGTAGCATATATCATGGCATTACTATATGATATTAACGATATCAAACACGATTATCAGGATGTTTCGTAGCATATATCATGGCATTACTAGATGATATTAACGATATCAAACACGATTATCAGGATGTTTCGTAGCATATATCATGGCATTACTAGATGATATTAACGATATCAAACACGATTATCAGGATGTTTCGTAGCATATATCATGGCATTACTAGATGATATTAACGATATCAAACACGATTATCAGGATGTTTCGTAGCATATATCATGGCATTACTAGATGATATTAACGATATCAAACACGATTTTCAGGATGTTTCGTAGCATATATCATGGCCTTACTAGATGATATTAACGATATCAAACACGATTATCAGGATGTTTCGTAGCATATATCATGGCCTTACTATATGATATTAACGATATCAAACACGATTATCAGGATGTTTCGTAGCATATATCATGGCATTACTAGATGATATTAACGATATCAAACACGATTATCAGGATGTATTCTGACACTGCATACGACTCACTACCACAGTCAGATATAATCGGGCGGCTTTTATGGATTTTGTTGGAGATAAACCACTCATTGATTGGATTTTTATGGATCTTAGGCAAAGTGTACAAATGTCTTTCACGACAATCAGGTTTGGCAGTGAGATAGTCATATTGTTTCTGTTTGAGATAACTAGATCGGCAAGAATATTGTTAATCATATTAGCAGTTTCTTTGATTTCGGTAAAATGGCATAATGTTTAGGATTATTCAGTTGATTCTCTGCTTCTGAAACGTAATCCACCCTATTCAGAATAACACAACATGAACCTTTGTCACTCTTTTTAATAACAATGCTATCGTTTTTCTTAAGTAAGTTTAACGTTTAACGCTTCACGTTCCACTCGTGTGAGATTAGGCTTTTCGTGTGTTATGAAAGGTTCTCTGTTTGGCTATTCAACTCTCAAATGCTTTCAATATTTCAGGATGGATGGCGGCCTGAGGGGGTGTCCACGTGGATTTAGGAATAAACATTGTTCTAGCACCACGTGGGGATGGTTTCGAAAAAAATATATAAGAAATCGTTCAATGGATGGTCGGAGATAATTTAAGTTGGCTACCTTCGGTGTCGGAATACACTGAAGTCCACGGTTTAAGATTGTTTTTAAGATTGGGTTTGGGATCATGGTCGTATGATTCAAGCATGGACTGTATGTGATGGATTTGGGCACCGGGGTAAGAATGTCTGAACTGGTTTTGGTAATTCGATTCAGGTTAGAGGATCTAATAATTAAGGTTGATTTCTTCAGAGCAGGTAGATTCCATAATGATTTGTCCTTGGTTTGGTGATAAAAGGGTTTGGTAGCGGATATAATGGTTGTCGATGGGGTGATTGGTACTGGTTTGGTAGTTTTTAGTAATGTAGCGTTGGGTATGGACTGGTATCTGGTTCGAGGAGGGGATGGTCTGGAAACATGTCTTGACTTAGATGGAGACTGAGGGGTGGTTTGCTGGTCCAAAAACGCACAGAAGGAAGAAAGGTTCGCGGATCCTGAATCACGCGGTGAAGATTCAGATGGCGGGGAAGAGGAAGACGAGTCTGAATGTGAAAAGAGAAGGGGTTTGCATTCTCTACGAGAACGTTTACCTATGTCTTCTAAACTAAGGGTAGGTGAACTTCGGGCTCGTTTAGGGGTTTTGTTCGATAGATTGGTGACTCTAGCTGGTGCAGGTGTAGTGTTCTTTTCAGTTAGTAGAGATATGATTATTCTGGCTTTGGTTTCGTTGATTGTCAGGTAAAATTTGGTGATTACAGCTTGAGTGAGACGTTTCCCATAGGAGCGAAGGGCCCAAGACAGGGCATGAGAAACGATGCGGTCGACTGCAGGTGATGATAAACATTTGGTATGAATGGTGGTCTTCTTTTCTTGAAGTGTGGTTTGGTAATGGTGTAACCTTAGAGAGCCATGTCCAATTGAGGGATCTAATATTCGCGTCGACAGATGATGTTTTCATTGCTGGACGGATAAAACTATCCAACTCAGAGAATTTATGTTTGTTGCTGTTGAAGGGTAAGGATTGCCAAATGATGGAGACACTGCAAAACTCCCCCAGTGAGTGGGGACTGGTTAGCTTCAGTTGTTGGCCAGGTCGGTGGTTACATCTGATTTGGTAGGCTGTGTTGTAGGTAGGTCGGCGATGGGGAGGGATGTAACTGGATGGGTTGCTTGGTGGTCGGCAATTGGTAGAGGGCGATGGAAGACAGGGCCGTTGTAGGGTACATGATGTTGGTTTGGTTGACGATTAGTGTTTCTATGTCTGGCTTCTTGCCAGTGGTTGTTGTAGTTGGGGAGCATATAATAAATAAAATAAAATAACTTGAGGTTAAAAAGGGAATGTACAACGAACGTAACAGAGGAAACTGTATATGCTAGCGTGAAAATGTGAGGATCAAATTGTGCAAATACGTCAAGCTGTGTTTGGGGCTATATAAAGTAAGGTGGAAGTTGTGATCAAAACGCAAAAATATATATTTAGGTGATAAATAACGCTAACAATGATGTAAAAAGTTATAACAAGTAACACAAAAACTTACGCAATTGACACGAACCGGTTTTCGAAGTATTATCCTTTTTCGAGGAATGGAGATATCGCAGTCACTGCATCAGAGATATCGCAGACACTGCATCAAAGATATCGCAGACACTGCATCAGAGATATCGCAGACACTGCATCACAGATATCGCAGTCACTGCATCAGAGATATCGCAGACACTGCATCAGAGATATCGCAGACACTGCATCAGAGATATCGCAGTCACTGCATCAGAGATATCGCAGACACTGCATCAGAGATATCGCAGTCACTGCATCAGAGATATCGTAGACACTGCATCAGAGATATCGCAGACACTGCATCAGAGATATCGCAGTCACTGCATCAGAGATATCGCAGTCATGTAAAAATATCTAATATAAAATATGTAATTTTTATCTCTATGTTCTAGCTTTAGATGGTGGTTGTGTCGCCTCCCTTGGAAGAATATGTGGATGCTTCAATCCTTCAAATACAACACATTCGATAGAATGCTGTGGGGACGAAATAATGCAATTAGAATTGACTGGAGAAACTATAATCTACCAGCGTACAGATTCAACCTGTAAGCCTTCAAGTGTAACGGTTCCATGTGTAACCAGTGAAAACAGGTATCGTTTAGACCATGAAGACAAAGTAAACATCTATAACAACTGTAGTGGACAGAAACGATGTGATGTACATTTACAGACGTTTTCAGATATAAAGATACAGATTACAGTGACTTGTGAACCAGGTAGACCAATTTCACTTAATATATTGCATGAACGTTTGGTGACTTTGTGACTTAGATGTTATAATAAATCCATATTTAATATATCCTTGCTTCCATCTTGTAACTGACACTGTGTCAATGGATTTTAAAAACCATTTTTATACGCCCACATGAAATGGGGGACGTATATTGTCGCCACCCTGTCCGTCCGCAATTGCTCGTAAACACTTCTTGATTGATTTCGACGAAACTTGGCATGGTTGTTTGCAATCACCCAAGGATGAACCCTATTGAAAATCAGAAAAATCCAAATATATTTAGTTAGTATGAGTTATTGCCCATGTTCTTATAACGCTTGTAAACACTCCAGAATGCGCAATTCTTGACAGATTTTGATGAAACTTGGAGTGAATGTTTGTTATCACCCAAGAATGAACCCTCTTTAAAATCAAAAATATCCAAAAATAATTAGTATGAGTTATTGCCCTTGTTCTTGAAAATGCTATCAATTTGAGATTGTAAACACTCAAGAAGGCACAATTTTGGACGGACTTGGTCAAAACTTGGTGAGAGTGTTTGTAATCACCAAAGTATAAACTTTATCGAGAATCAGAAAAATTGAAAATAATTTAGTATTAGTTATTGCCCTTGTTCTTGAAAACGCGTCCAATTTTTAGCTAGTAAACACTCCAGAAGGCACAAATCTTGACGGATTTAGATGAAACTTAGTATGAGTGTTAGTAAACACCCAAGGATGAACCCTACTGAAATCAGAAGAATCGAAAAATAATTAATATGAGTTATTGGCCCTTGTTCTTGAAAACGTGTTCAATTTTTAGCTCGTAAACGCTCTAGAAGGTTCAATTCTTGACAGATTTTGATGAAATAATATTATTCAGTATCGCCTAAAAAAGTTCCAAAGAAGTGTATGTCTGAAGGTTGAATAATTCATAGTGGTAATTGTGGGCGTGGGCGTATATAACCTTGCTTGGCAAGCTATCTTTTATTTCAAAATGAATTAAGTTGTTTGACTACAAGAGTGCTAATGGAAACGATGGAGTCTTATAAAGAGGTCGGACAGCCGAACATAATGCCACTTTCTGCCTGGGTTTATAAATTTACCCATGACATACATTGTGTTTTTATTGTTTGTTTATTATTTTATAATTATAGCTAATAGACTCTTTTCTAAGATAGAAACTTACCCTTTACGTTTTACAAATAAAGTTGCAATATTTTACATCAATGGCAAGGATTACATTGGAAAAGAAATTACCAAATATTGTACTGCCTGGTCTACCAATGATGAAATATACCTGGAGGTGTTATACATAAATCTTGGTCCTAGATCTTGTGAAAAAGTAAAGTTGTCAAATCTTAAATTGGTCTGTACAGACTCTGGAGTGACAATGTTTTATACAGCAATTGGACTTACTGGTAAAGAGTTGAGTTTGGAATTAAAGGATCTGGAACTAGAAAGGAATGAAGTAATATATGCAAAGCTTCATGTCTGTAAGCATATAATTTTCATACATATTCTATTTTTATTATACCTTGACTGCAATATCCACCTTTATTGTATCACGAAATGCATCGATTTGATTGGATTGTACGCCAGCGAATACAGCCAATCAGATCCCTCCATAGAAAGGCTATACACATTATGCCTTATTATTTACATATGTTTTGTCGATGACTCTATTTAAAACAGAATATTAGCCCTTGTATGTTTTTTTCAGCCAATAGGTCGAACATAGATGTAGTTTGCCATGGTAGCAAGAAAGATGTGACAGGTAAATTATTCACAATTTTCATTTTTTAAATTATTTTTAAAGATTTATAACAAAGAAATAATTGCTCAGAGAATCATATTAAGTAGTAAAGGTCGTTCATCTTCTCTTAGCACTATGCTAAGTCTACAGTGATACCAGGTGTTTCAGAAAGGAGAACATCCGTGCGTCTATAGAGACCTCTGTCATAGTTATTATAGTGAGCTCAATACAATATTGTGATTTTAGAGAGACCGAGTCCTAGTCCTAGTCCTAGTCCTAGTTCTAGTCCTGAAGGGACTTGCAAAGATGAAGATGAAACCAACCCCTACATCATGTTTGGTAGTATTTTAGCTGCTGTGATTGTCATTAATATTGTCTGTATTGGAGTCTACTGTTACATCAGGTAGGTCTCACATCCATTTCAGTCTCAAAAACAAATTATCAATAAAGTCGCTCCCAATTCTAAAAACTCCAGTAAATGAAGAATTTCTAAACCATAAACAATTTGATTAGCTAAAACCACGACATATGTATACACTTTCAAACATTCTCTTTCAGATATCGTAAAACACCGAATGAAATAACTACCAACGTGGCATATTCGAACCGGGAGGACTCCAACTATGATTATTCACACAACAATTACCTTCATGTAACCGATAATCATGTAATCGATTACGAACAACTTCCGGCTTAACAGTCGAATTTTGAACTGTTTGAGAGATTTTATTCAATGGTATTTTTTATATTCTAGACTAATAATACATTATAAAATTAACTTGCTTTCCGTGGTTTTTAAATTGCTATCTGTAATATCTAATTATTGGTATAAATTTGATATGAGAGCTATCGTCTCTGTGCTGTCTGGCTTACTCCTGAAGTAAGCAAACAATTTAAATTATTTTCCTGATCTCTATCTACCTAAGCCAGTTAAAGGGACATCTTGTACCTAAATCTCAGAATCGGGAATTGCTTGGCTAAGCTAATCTTAAATAGTGTTCACAACTCACCTTCGATATTTGATCCTTCAAAGGCATCTGTGTGTGTGTTCAGAATTATCCGCGTTGACTTGTTAAAATGACGACTCGTCTTTTTAACTTCTTCTTTCATATATTATAAAAAATACATCTATAGAAAAAGAACGTTACATTCCTAATTCGAGGTATTTCCGGGTGAATTATACGATTTTCGTACATTTCTAGTACTTCTGAAGAATATTTACATACTCAAGTCCCAAATTCACCCCCCCAAAATGGCGCATCTGCCATTTTCTGTCTTTTTGTCTGATAGTTTTCTTCTTCATTGTAATGTTTTCTACCACAGTTTTGAACTTATGACGTTAAACCAATCAAACCGGATCATTGTTATGATTGTAAATTCGTGTTTGTATATTGCAAATAGTATCAGTATGTATAAAAATTTAGTTCGACACTTTCTTTTATTTATGATTTACTTTTTACTTATTTTACGCTATTGTTTGATGAATTATTGCCCCTATATTATTTTTGGAAATAAATATATAGCAAAAGTAAATTTTAATTTAAAACTTGAATTATCAATTCTTCATTTAGGTACAAATTGGAATTGTGCCGAATATTAGTGTGCCTTAAAAGTGAGTGCCTTAGTAAATATGAGCTTAATTGAAGGTGTGCCGAAATCACTGTGCCTATATAACCCTGTGCCTATATAATCACTGTGCCTTTGTAACGCTGTGCCTATATGACCGTGTGCCTAAAATACCGTGTCTAACTGACCTTTGCTTAAAATATTTGTGCCCTTTTGACTGATTACTGGTGTAATAGCCTACCGTGGACATCTGTGCGTTCTTGGTGGTTTCAATGGTGTATCGCGTATGAATACTGGAGAACGATTCAGTTTGGTCACCAACTCATGTCAGACAATACAGGAAATGGATAACTCACGAAGTTAAAAATGACAATTCTTTACTATGGCGTTTCTATAAATATTTAGATCTAGGTTGAGAGGTCAGAATTTTTGCCACAGAACTGTCAGGGGGCTCACTAGCAAATCTTACTCTATGTTAAATGGTAATTGGTGGTGAAGTTGGTAGATTATTTATGAGATGATATTTAAATGTGCTTATAATTGTAGATTATAGATAAGATGGTATTTGTAATTTGTCATTTCAACACTATTATAAATATTTAGAAATAAATTTTTGATATGTTTATTTGAGACTTGTTGATGTAGACTAAGCCGTCGCGCAAACCAAATTAAAAGGACAGTATCGCCATTTTGGGTTTTTTTTTTGGGTCTTCAATATAATTAAATAATCTTTAGAAATGTACGCAAATCACATAATTCCATCAAAATACCTCAAACTAGGAATATTACTTCCTATTTCTATAAATTTATTTTCTATATATGGCAAAGTTCCGAGGCGAGTCGTTTTTTTGACTTTCAAAAGCGAAAAAATCCTGACATACATGGATTTGAAGGCTCAAATTTCGACGGTGAGCTACGAACAATATCACTTGTATTGAGATTATGGTACGATTAGCCAAACGGGTGGTGAATCTGTCCCTTTAAAATGAGACGA